GGTGATGCGCAGCACGACGAATTTAAAGAGTTATTATCTGAACTCGAATCGGCATTGTATCCAAGGTGTACTAAGTATTCCTCATTGAATTTTTTAGTGAAACTCATGCATTTAAAGGTGCTGCATAAATGGTCCAATGAGTGTATGAACTCTGTTTTGAAGCTGTTGAAAGATGCATTTCTTGAAGGAATTAAACTTCCAAATTCGTATTGCGAGGCGAAGACGAAATTGGGTAAACTTGGTTTGGGCTACAGGACAATACATGTCTGTAAGTATGATTATGCGTTATTCTGGAAGGAGAATGCTGATCTACAGGTTTGTCCAGTATGTAACACCAGTCGTTGGAAGAGTAAAAAAACAAAAGGTAAAAAAGTACCTTAGAAAGTATTACGATATTTTCCTTTGAAGGATCAATTGAGGCGTCTGTATAGCTCGTGTCACACTGCAAAGGAAATGACGTGGCACATGCAGAGGCGTTCGAAGGATTCAGACTTAATGCGTCATCCAGTTGATGGTAGGGAGTAGAGAGATTTAGATATGAAGTATCCTGAATTCGCTCATGAACCAAGAAACGTTTGATTGAGTTTAGCTACTGATGGTTTTAATCCTTTCGGAAGCATGAGCTTATCATATAGTATGTGGCCGGTGGTTTTTATTGCTTACAATTTACCTTCTTGGTTATGCACTAAGGATCCCTACAAGATGTTGACACTGTTGATTCCAGGCCGAAACACCCCTGGAAAAGATATTGATGTATTTTTGCGACCACTTGTTGATGAACTTGAAAAGCTGTGGGAAGAGGGAATCATTGTTCATGACGCTGCTTCAAATGCATCATTTAAGATGCGTGCTGCATTGCTAATGACTATCAATGATTATCCTAGACGTGCTAGTTTGTCTGGATGGAGTGAACAAGGGTATTTAGCATGTTCATCATGTAATGATGCAACACCATCAAAGAGGTTGATGAGTAAAAACTATTTTGTTGGGCATCAACGGTGGCTTCCTATTAGGCATAGAATGAGAAACAATATGAGGTTTGATGGTAAGGTTGATCGTCGTGCTCCTCCACCTCGGAAGTCTGTCGAAGAAATACTATTTCAATTACATAACGTCGGATCCAGACTGCCTGGTAAACATGAAAAGTTTGGCGGTAAGAAACGAAAGAGACAATCTGCAGAGTTTAACTGGACAAAGAAGAGTAGTTTTTGGGAACTACCATACTAGACTTCATTATCAATTCGTCACAACGTAGATGTCATGCATATAAAAAAAAATGTATGTGACAGCTTGTTGGGTACTATTCTTAGTATCGATGGAAAAAATAAAGATATAGACAAGGCGAGGATCGACTTACAGAATATGAGGATTCACAAAGAATGCTCGATGTTACATTTGACGAGACATGTTCGTGGAAGGCGATTGGCGAAAACACCAAATATTTTGACAGTGTTGTCGGCTTGAATACAAGAGATATATGTGACCCACATTACAACGCTTGGAAGGACGTGCCTAAGGAGCACAAAAGGAGGATTTAAAATCGCTTGCTGGTATTTATTTGAAACAAAATTTGTTCTAAACGTTTTTAATTGTGGATACAATAAATAAGATTCATTTGTTGATTTTTTAATGTATTTTAGGATTGATTTAACCTCGTCTACGACCGCGACAACGACATCATTAAAGATGTAGTCGACTGTGAAGCCAGTAAATGTTATAAGGACTGGAAGGCTACCTTGCACAGATACTTCCAGAAGATGAGAGGAGCAGCAAATGAGGATTTTGTCAGGCAAAATCCTCCTAAAAACTTGAGGAGCAAAGAGCAATGGGGACCTTACTGTGATCGTTTTACGTCCCCTACTTTTCAGGTTTAATTTCATTATATTTTCTTACTTTTAATTAATTGGTTTATTTAATTATTAAGTATGTTACTAATTTGTCTATGATTATTGCTAGAAAAAAGCTGCTACAAATCAACAAAACCGTGGCAGTCAGAAGTGGACTAGCTTCCATGGTAGAAAGTCATACTCCCAGCATCGTTTCGATAAGGTAATACTAATTTGCATACTTGTTAAGTTTTTGTCACTTTGGCTTAATAATTATTCTGACACGTTCAACTTGATTAGGTAAATCCCGAGACCCAGGAGCCAAGATCATTATTTGACAATTAGGGTGACATGCACCGTCATGGGCAGAATTTTATCAATCCGGATGCGGAACATTCATTTGTAAGTAAATTTTAAACTTATTTCTTTTTTCATATTTAACATAACATATTATACTATTTTTATTCATTTTTATTTCATTTACCTTTGCAGGCTCAGATGGAGGTGGAAATAACCACGCAGATGACACAGTCTGCTGGGGAAGGTTCATCCACGACGGTCAATGAGGAAGGGATTATATCCCAAGTCTTGGGAAAGCGCAGAGGACACACTAAGAGAGTGGGACCGACATTGTCACGGAGGAATCGTTCACGCGCTTCCACCTCATCATCTACTTCATAATCGGACGGGTCGTCTTCGGTTAATTTACCCCAGCATGTCCAAAACTGGTTGAACAACCTTTACATCGAGCAACGCAACATGTTCGACAACCAACAGATCATGATGGAAGTCATGCGCTCGATGAATCCCAACATCAACTTCTTGCCAGTTAACCACCCCCAATCGTTGGTTCCTCCGCCGCCTGAGCGAAACGAAGAAGACGAGGATGAGGACGACGATGCTGCTAATTTAGGAGATTAAAATATATATTTTTATTTTTTTATTATCAATACTTTTTAGTATTTCTTAATTAATTTACTTTTTAAGACTTATTTTATTATTGTGTTGACTATTTTATATCAATTACATTATTTTATTTTATTATAAATTTTCTTCACATTTTTATCTTTATTAATTAATATTATTAAGAAAGTACAAAAAAAACTATTTACGACGACATTTATAAGGTGTCGTCGCAAATAGATCAAATTACTAGCGACAACAGTGTAGTCACAAAAGTGTTTAAAACCTTTTGCGACGACACTATGTCGTCACAAATACTCTACGCCACGTCATCATCAACAACATATTCGATAGAACATTCGTGACGACTGTCGTCGCTAATATATTTGCGACGACAACTCAAAATATTGTCGTCACAAATATATCATTTGCGTCTAATTTTTTACGGCAACTCATTTGCGACAACATGTCGTCAAAAATGCGGTATTTGTGACGATATATCGCCTATTTGTGTTGACATTGAGTCGCCACAAATGACCTTTTTTGTTGTGTACCAAAGCTTATTATACCTCAACTCAACCTCATTCCTAAATTTAAGTTGTCAATCCAAATCGCAAGAAGATGCGCCACACTCGCCGGAAAAGAGAGAGAGGAAGAGGATGACAAATAAGAGTGAGTTTTTACACTATGTTTGATAGGGAAGAAAAGTGGATGGAAGGAAGGAGGAGGAGAGATTTTGGGAGAGAAAATAGAAAATATGTTGTTTAGTAGGAGAGAAAAGAGGAGGGAGGAGAAATTAAAGAGAAAATAGTACAAGTAGGACCCATTATATTTTATTCTTGCATTAGTGGAGAGATTTTAAAAGAAAAATATTATCACACTTAAAACAAGATGAATTACTTGTTCGATTTTATTTATAAAATAATATTATAATTTTGAATTGGTAAAATAGTAAATATACATTAACTCATTTTCTTTCATTCTTTTCACATCAAACAACAAAAAAGAAAACTATTTTCTTTTCTATCATTTTTATTTTCTATCCTTTAATTTTTTCCTCTCCATCTTATTTTCTTTCTCTCCTACTAAATATAGCATTAGAGAAATATGTCTTTTTAAAAGGATTTGTATTCAAACATTCCATTTCCGCAAGAGGATTTGTATTCAAACATTCCATTTCCGCAAGAGGATTTGAGAAACACAAATTAAAAGAAATAAAAAAGGAAAAAGTTCTTTTTTAATTTATTTATTAATTCTCTATCAACATGATAAACAAATATGAATATAAGATACTCTTCGATGCAAATGTTAATGTCAATTGTATATTTAATATTAAAAATATAATATATATTGTTTTCATTTTTATTTAAATACATAATGCTATTTGAAATGGTACAATTTATTTTTCTTATAATCATTAAGCTTTTAAAGTTGTAAAAGTAAACTTTTAATTTTAAAATAATTTAAAAAAGTAAAAGTTTGTAATGATTAAATGAAATGACCATATCAACCACTAGGAATCAAATGTCAAAATTATCATATGTTATATTTAGTGGGAAATTTACTACAAAGTATAGTATATGATAAATTTACTACAACAAATAGCATTACATTGTAGAGTATTTTTTATACTTAAATATTAAACTTACAATTGACACATAAATTATTGTATTGCATTAGAGAAAATGACATAAAAATGTTATTTTTGGAACAAAGACTTCATAAATGCTAGTGGGCCTAATTAGCACCTTAGTATAGAGGGTAATATTAAAAAATACCATTTAAAAATGCATGAGTTAGGATTTTTACCCTTTACTTTTAATTCATATTATTTTTAGTTAAATAATTATACTATTAAAAAAATATTTATCAAAAATAAAAAATAAATATTCAGACTTATACACTCAAAAATAAATTTTTCATTTTTTCTACCATAGACCATCACCGTAAACAATTTGGGCAGAAGCCCATTATTTGAAGTCCAAACAGAACGAGCTCAGCCCAGGCTGCCTCAAAATGGGCGGGAACGGGGAAGAACCCGCCAATCCTCAAGACCCAAACGCCGCCGTTTTATCCGAGGCGCTATTTTTTATTTTATGTTTCAATTTTTGTAGGCGCTAATAACTTATCGCGCAGCAAGAGGACAAAAACTACAAATAAACGCGAAAAAGAAAAAGAATATTCAGATTTTTTTTCAATAACACAATAATAATAATCGAAAGAAAAGAATAATTTTGCCATACAAACAAACAGCTTTTTAGAGACAAAATAACATATCATCGTCATCATAATCGATCGATGGATCGCATTGTCGTCAAGGACAACATCGTAAATGAGCACTAAAAACAACACCCAAAATTAACGAATTATTCAACGTTGTCAATCTCCAGAAGATCGTCTTTTTCATTTTCTCCCAAATTTTCCCCACTTATTATTAATCAATCGCTCTCACCAGACCAAAACCCTAGCACCCAATTTTCCCAATCCAAAAAGCTTCGAAAGCTCTGTAATCTCCTCAGCAGCCGATCTCGGCCTGGTATTTCTCTATTTCCATTTTTCTTCTTCTCCGTTTCGTCGCTTTGCTCTCATTATAATATGATAATCTCTGCATTTTCACATTTTTAATTGTTTTTTAATTTTATTTTCGGCTATAAATTCTCTTTTTTTAAGCTCCGTGGTTTGAGAATTTGGCTTTATAAATTCTCTTTTTTTTTAAGCTCCGTGGTTTGAGAATTTGGCTTTATAAATTCCCTTTTTTTAAGCTCCGTGGTTTGAGAATTTGGCTTTCTTCCCTTGTTCATTCAAGTTTTTCTGTGCCAATTTTGACGTGTCTGTGCTTTGTGCTTGGTTTAATTGTATTGGTTAATGGGTGTAAACAGATGTGATTATTCAAGTATCAGAATTGAATGCATCTATTATTTCAGTGAAACTATTTTAGTCATTTATTTTCTATACTAGAAATGTGGGATTTCTTTTTCTAAAAAAGAAAAAAAAAATTGCGGGATTTCTCTTTGGAAGGGAAATCTTCTCACTAAGTGAGGTGAAAGTTGCAGAGAGTTTGGTTTTTCATTGACAGAGTAGATTAGATATTGCTGGTCAGTATTAGTATAGTAATTGGCAGAATTTTATCTTGGAAGCTACAATGTACCTTGTTTTGCAGTTGTATAAAACGCTTCTGCTCTGAAGAGTCGACAACCCGCACACGCTAGAGAGAGAGAGAGAGATTTTGTTTATTTTGGCATAGTGTATTTTGTTGTGCCATTGGGTAATGAAATGAGGTTTGAGAAAGGATCATGTAGGTTTGTTGAGGAAGTGAGGTTTCATAATCGACATTGACTGAAAACGGAGGGATGCGAGTTTTTTGGATCCTGAAGTACGTATGTTTCGGCGTCTGGGATGGTTGGTCGGTCTAAATTATAGAAGCTGGTCAGGAAAGAGGTTGACTGATGCCAATGTACACCCAGCAAAGATTAAGCCAGTGGCTATGTTTGACACAGTACAGGAGATTGCCATTTACATTCATAGGTTTCACAATCTCGACCTTTTCCAACAAGGGTGTGTATGCCGATTATCATCTAAAACTCTTCTTCCAACTATCCTAGTCATATTTCTGGAAGTCTGTCTAACATGGTTTTCTGTTTGCGCAGATGGTATCAACTTAAGATTACCATGCGATGGGAGGATAATGAGTATACTTCTGTGGGAACTCCAGCAAGAGTAGTACAATATGAAGGTATTTCAGTTGGAGATTTATTGTTTTCTTCTGCTTTTGAGCTGAGTGTTTTATTTACTTATTATTATTATTATTATTATTGTTATTAATTTTCCCTTTGCAGTTCCTGATATAGGGTCTGATGATGTGCATGGAGTTTGGAGAATTGACGACACAGACAACAGTTTCTCTACTCAGCCTTTCCGGATAAAATATGCAAGGCAGGATGTGTCATTGTCAGTCATGATATCGTTTAATCTATCTCTTGGTAAATATGAGGTACTGATCTCTTTCTCTTGGTAAAACACCAACATAACCACAGATAAATAGGTGTATCTTCTTATGCGTGTGTCTGATCTGGAGATACCAAAGAAAACCAACGTGCAAGTCATGTACGGGGAATTTATTCAAGGTGGTTGCTTCCCTCTGAAAAAATTTGGCTTCTAAGTTGAGCTGCCCATGTCTATGAAACTAGAAGAGTCCTATATGAAATATTTCATGTTTCCAAGGTCCCCAACATCTGTGTACGAATTCAAAGTTCAAACCAATCACTATAATCTGTAACATACTAAAAATACCTTGAGTCTGTTTTTTGTACTTTTAAAGCCTAAGAGAGCGTGATGGGCTCAAGTTTAGAAATGACCTCTTTTTAAGGGAAAAAAAATCTCTAGGTTTGAATATCTGATGTCTATTTTTTGTAGAATGTACATCAGTTTGGGTTGATAGTCTTGAAATATATTTTTTATATTTGATTTGCAGGGTCCACCCACGTCTGCTGTCATTGTGAAGTTTGAACTTATGTATGCCCCAATATCATTGACTGGGTGAGTTGATAGAATTTTTATTTTGATAATTGTCCTCATAATTGACTTTCCGATTCCAGAGAAAAATATATTCTTCTTGTCCAGCATACCTTGTGTTTTTGCAAACTCAAGTTGCATCTTGCAAATTGTAATGATGGCAATGTGCAATATGTAGGTCTGACTTGCAGGCTTCTCTAAGTTCTTGCTCTGCTGCCGTCCATGAATTTCGAATTCCTCCGAAAGCTCTTTCGGGTCTGCATTCATATTGCCCTGTTCATTTTGATGCATTTCATGCTGTGCTTGTTGATGCAAGTTTACACATCAGTCTACTTAAAGGTGATGCTTATGCAGCCCCAACAAAGCGACCAAGGTATGTCACTTTACCAGTTTTAGGAAATTTATTATTTGATCATTATAGAATCCTAATCAAGCAACATATTCATTTTAAGAAACTGATTTGTTAAAGTAATTGGGTTAATTGGATATTTCAGTGATTCTTGTACTGTGGAAGTTGTTGCTAATGAAAGCTTTGATGGAGCACACCAAGTATGTGTTCGCTCTTTGAGTCTTCCTATTAATATTTGCAGGGACTCTTTTTGGTCAAAACTTATTTACTTGTTCATTTCTATATGCTATTATTTCTTCATTTTTTTTCCTTTCTAATGATAGTTGAAGTTTGTGATCATACTAGGCACCAGGTCAAATGGCTTCTGCCGATGCAAAATGCTTCATGCTTGTTAAATCATTATTAGCTGCTCGAGACATTCTGCTTGAAGAGTTGCAGAGGCTTAGCAAAGCAATCGATCAACTAATTGACTTGACTGATTTTATATCTAAGATGGATGATATAAAGTTTCCCAATTCTGCCCAACAAGGAAATGCAAGTCCATCAGATGGAAAAGTTTCAGCACAAGGCAAGCAGCAAAATGGTTTTGAGGTCCTTACTTGTTTCATGCAGCATTTTTTTTTTTTTTGGTCTTACTTTGTAAGTTCTATGCAAGGTTTTGTTGCTGAATATTTCTTTGTTTTTTCTGCAGAAAACAACCAGTACTTTACACCTTCAAAGTAGTGAATCTCTCCTCTCTCTACCAAGGAGTGTTGTACTGAACTCCCTCCATTTATTGGGCGACCAAGTTTCATATTTATGGAACATTTTTTTGCAGTTCCACAGGTTGCGTTTTGTTGCCTTGCTAGATTTTTTTTTTTCCCCAGACACTGCCAAATTTTTCCAATTTGAGTTTGGTTGCTTTCTTGTGTTACTTCTCGCACTTCAGTCGTGCAATATATATACATGGAAACAGCAAACTGTGACTGAATTAGCGAAGAGAAAAAAAGAGAAAGGAGGGGTGGGGGGTGGAGCCATCAAAGTTATCTTCTTTTGATGTGTCAAAGTAAATTTTATTGAACCTATGATCTAAATATGTAACTAAGAGCACTTGTATGATGTTTGTTAGTTCAGAAAACATAGGAGCAAAAAGCTGCTCCCCGGGTGCCTTACAAAGAGTGGCTTTTAGCAAATCTCTGTAAAGAATTATGCTGGGAAGAGAATGATTTAATATTTAGCGGTGTGATGTTAACTCTGCTATTCTACAGTGGAACTTAAAGGATAGGTCTAAATTACATGCACACAACATGTATCTCTAGGTACGCTGATGTCTAGCCGTGTAAACTCATGGTGTGAGATAGCCACAAAATTTCTAAACCTATAATAAGATATGTGATAGTGATACTTCTCGAGATCTCAGAGTTCCTTTTGATTTTTTGAGTTGATCAGCTTTTGTTATGTTTGATATGTGAGTTGTATGTAAATTTCTCTATATTCTATACGGATGCTAAGGCCTTGTTCATTTTATTGGTTCAAATTACAACTCAAGTTTTTGCTATAGTGTTTTCTCTTAAAAATTCAAATTCAACTTTTTTTGCTATAATGTTTTCTCTCACATAAATTCACTTTTCAACTCAAGTTGATTACTTGAATCAACGAAACAAACATGACCTAAATGAAAAGATACATGATGTTATAGTCTTATTGTGGCATAACCTGGTGCTTGTTTGTGGTACACTTTGTTTCAGGTCACATAGAACAAGGATATTGGAATGTTTGCGGGAAGCGTGGGCCAAAGACAGAAGAGCTGAATGGTCAATATGGATGGTGTACTCTAAGGTTGAGATGCCTCATCATTTTTTGAATAGTGGCACCGATGATTCCTCTCACCATGGTGTCCATAAAAGAGTATCGAGTATCTTGAAGTTAACTGATGATGTAAGTATCCATAAAAAAGAGAGGGTTAAGTATCCATAAAAAAGAAGGGGGCGTTCATCATTTTTGTATTACCATTTTGTTCAAAGTGTAGTCTTGGCCCATAATTTCAACTGTGAATATTAATTCTTCACTCCATGATCCATGAATGTGGTAGTATTCTCTTATGCTTTGTACAGCCTGCCCATACTGCTGCTTTGCGTGCTGAGCGCCATCGACGAAGTATTGCACAAATGAAGGCGAGTCCTGCCCCCACAGAAGTGATTGATTGCCCCATACATTCCATTATTTGGTTCTTTTCTGAGTACAAATTCCTTGACTGCAGATCAACAATCGGTCAATTCAAGATATGCACTTATTTGGAGATCCTTCACGCACCCCTGTTCTAATTGTGGAACGTGTCATGAATGCACCAAGGCGTACTACTAGTGAGAATTCTTACCTGAGACATTTGGACGTGATTAATTCACCTGGCTTACTCGATGCACCTGGCTCTGAAGCTGGAGACAATCAAACCGGCATGAACAAACAACCGAATGGCCGTGTTTTAAAGATTGTTGTGTTTGTGCATGGGTTTCAGGCAAGTCTTATGTTCCTCTTCTCTTTCTAAAAGCTTGAGGGGCTAATAATATTTATTGAAAATTTGTTGGGCTTGTTACTGATAAGCTCTGGTTTATCCGGTCAAGAACTAAGAAACTAATTGCACAATTCGAAAGAATGAGAAAGAATCAACGAAGGATATTATTGAAACAATGAGTATACACAGATCGGCAGAACTTCGAGGGTCTGCTTCCTCCCTTGCTTGGAATTGTTCCAAGACTTGTCCACTTTCTGATTATTTCCCGATCACCGCTTTTCCCTCCTCTTTCCCCTTTTATACAATTTCCTCTCCTCACTCCCCCAAACTCCCCTCGTAAGCTAAACTAATATTTCCACTAAACTACTAACACCAAACTACCACAGCCACTTAAGACAGCTGTCCCTTCCTAAACTCTTTTATTCCTCCTAACAAACACTTGCCTGAGTAAGGGCTTATCAGTTACCTTTAATTAATTAAGTTGCGTCGAATTTGTTTGGAGTATAGGCCTTTCCCCCCCTCTTATGTCGGTATTAGAAATTTTCACCTTGAAAGATCCCTACAGTAGACCATTCCACTTGGACTCCCCAAAGGAACATTTTGCTTAAATAGTTTTTCTACTTAATTCTGGTTCTTGGTTCAGGTCTATTAGTTATGTAATTGGATCTTATCTTTTCCTTTCTTATTGGAGTCTAAATGCCGGTAGTTTCTTGATATATCTAGAGACTCATTTTGTATTCTGCAAAGCACCTATTTCATTGATTCGGTGTACCACATTGTAGTTCTAATCGTAAACGCTAAAATAATTTTACTTGTTGCAATTGTAAAATCACAGGGGCATCACCTGGATTTAAGGCTTGTACGAAATCAATGGCTTTTGTTCGATCCCAAGATTGAGTTTCTAATGTCAGAGTCAAATGAAGACAAAACATCAGGAGACTTCAGAGAAATGGGACTAAGACTGGCTCAGGAGGTGATAGCGTTTGTTAAGAAGAAAATGGACAAGGCTTCAAGACATGGATTGCTTGGTGATATTAAGCTAAGCTTTGTAGGACATTCCATCGGGAACGTAATTATACGAACAGCTTTAGCAGGTAAATAAACATCAGGCTTTAGTGCCTTGTTTTCAGTTCAGTTTGTTGTAGTTTAGTGCTACATTTTTGAGGTTGTCTTTGCAGAAAGCATTATGGAACCATACCTGAGGTACCTGTATACATATGTCTCTATATCGGGTCCACACTTGGGGTATCTTTATAGTTCGAACTCTTTGTTTAACTCTGGACTGTGGCTTTTGAAGAAGTTTAAGGGCACACGGTGCATTCATCAGCTAACATTCACTGATGATCCCGACATTCAAAATACGTTCTTTTACAAGCTGTGCAAGGTACTTATAAATAATCTGATATTTTGTTTGGTTTTGTTTAAGACATAAATATGCAGTTTTTTGGGTTGTGTTATTGTTTTCTCTCCGTCACTGCTTATACGCGCATGCAAATATAGAATGTCTTGGAACGAGAAAGTAATTTAATCATGAGTCAGAGACCGCAATGGTGTCTATGAAATGATTTGTAATGTTTGCAAAGGCTTTGTATGTATTGGTTAAAGTTCTAAAATGATTCTCTTTCCTCTTACAGCAAAAAACACTACAGCACTTCAAGCATATTATCCTGCTATCTTCACCGCAGGTATGCCAACCCTTTTGTGGGCCATTTTAATGAAAACGTTAGTTTCTTCGTGGTATTATCTAGTTAATATATTAAAGATCAATATTTTTTTCATATCTCCATTTAATAAATTTATTTGTCTTTTCTGTACTAACCACAATGCTTTATTTAATCGTCTCGTAGGATGGTTACGTTCCATATCATTCTGCTAGAATTGATATGTGCCAGGCAGCTTCATGGGACCATTCAAAAAAGGGAAAAATATTTCTGGAAATGCTGAATGATTGTTTGGACCAAATCCGGCCGGCTTCACCTGATCACAGAGTGTTCCTGCGCTGTGATGTCAACTTTGATACCTCTTCCTATGGGAAGAACTTGAATACCTTTATCGGTCGGGCTGCTCATATTGAGTTTTTGGAGTCCGACGTTTTTGCAAGGTTCATATTGTGGTCTTTCCCTGAACTATTTCGATAATGGTGACATAAACCCGCTTTTCTTATCAAACCAGCTTCTCTGACCTGTCTTCCTTGCGGCGTTCGAACCTCTTGATTTTCCCAGAATTTGAGTACAGAGACCAGGGATGCTGCAGGCGGAGTGTTGGAGAGGCCATTGTATATTACTGGGGCAAAATTGTGCCATTGTTCAGCTGAAAATTTACACCAAAGATCTCGAGAAGATAGTTGTGTAAATTATCCTAGGTTTTCGATAAATTTCTTTTTGTGATTATGCCCACATCCATCTACCGCTATAAGGATCATCATGTAGCTTCCAGTCCAACCAGGGGGGATGAACGGTAATAAAACTTGTTATATAATAGTAATCTTTTTTTTTTTTTTTTTTTTTTCAGATCAGATTTCGTTAGTCATCTCTTAAAACAAAACTTCTTGTATTTCATAGTGTCGCTATCAACTACCTAGTATTAACCAGCGCATATATTGTAAAAATGAACGCCAAAATGATACTAGATGTTCTTCATCTATAGTTGTATCATTCCTCATTCACCTTTTAGTTGATCGTTCCATTTACAGGCCAAAAATTTGGTGATACTCTTCAAGTGCATTTCACCTTCAAGAGCATTTCCTAGAATCATCATCAACTTACTTTTTTTTTTTTTTTTGAAAAATGATCATTTCTATTACCATAAGGTCCGGGTATAACCTTGAGATTGTAGTGTGACAAGTGAACAAAAAAAAAAACAATGTTCTTTTTAAAAATGTTTTCAAGAACCATTTTTAGTTATTTCTATGTTGAGCTAAACAACATTTTGAAAGACATCATTTTTATCCAAATATTATTGTTTAGCGAGAACAATTCGAGGATTTTCATATCAAAAAATTCTATGGACAGGCGCAGTTTTTTCTATTAAAGTCAGATTTCTTATCTTGCTGTATTAAACTACTATAGGCAATATTTGTTCAGAAAAAAAAAAAGAAAACTATATGCAATATTTATGGTAGGGCAAGCTTTTTTGCCCTACCTAAGGTTGTTTGAATTGTTGGATTAATTTTTTAACGGTTAAATCTGTGAAAGTTCATGTAGAAAATATAAGATGAGTGACATAAAATTGCTTCCGATCATAGATCTAACCGTTAAAAAGTTAATTTAATAGTTAAAACGATCTTATATACTGATAGGGTAAAAAAACCTGAGTTGCATAAACTAGAATATGATATGATTATTTTATAATTAATGATTTAAAAGAATGTGCTATAATTCCTCACAAAATGAGAAAAGAAAAAGAATGTATGTTGTAGATAAATGAGGGAAAACAAAAAAAGACGTTCACTGGTAGTCTCTGTAAAAATAGATTGTTGGTAGTTTCTTATTTTTCTGAGTTGTCAGATTTGAATCAAAATCTGTCTGTTATGTATATTTTTTCAATCTGATATGATTTTGAACAGATCCAACTGTCAAAGATTAAGATTATTAGAGGACAGACTACTAGAGAAACTCCCAAACAAAAATTTTGATGACCTTAAAACTAGTCTAAAATTGATAAATTTAGAAAAAAAAAAAAGAGATAGTACCTCTAGTAGGATCAAAAAAATTTGTCATCTCTATAAAAAATTGTATATTATGTATATTTTTACAATTTGATGTAATTTTAAATAGATCTAACGGTGTTGACCTCTTTTTTTTTTTTGCTAGAGAGAGCAAAAAATAAATAATAATAAAAAATGACGTGGTGAAGTTTGGGTAAAGTTTAGCCTGTTTGGTTGGAGGATTCGTTCTTTGATTCGAATCATGATTCATAGTTCATTATAATATTTTTTCTCATAAAAAATACACGTAAATTAAAAATAATTATAATATCATGATTCTAATATATGAAGTAAAGGTATGACGCGTAATCAGGAAGCCAGCCGAGATATTCGCACCAGACGGGGGTTGCTGATGAGAACTCTATCCATTTCATAATTTAAACGTAATCAATAATGATCCATAATTATCTACAAGCTAATTCTCGTTTGAAGCGTTGACACCATTTGGTAACAAAAACCAAAGAAAATCACAGCCAATTATTTATGAATTTCAACTGGTTCTGTTTGAGTAATTGAAGATTTTTGGGGTCGCTCCAATGGAGGATTTCTCTCTCCCTCGCGATTCCTATTTTCTGGGTTTCGACAGTTCAACTCAGTGAGTCCAAACATCAGTCTCTCTCTCTCTCTCAACACAATTAGAAATCTTCAGATCGCCATTTTTCACATGATTTCTCACAGTTTCTATCCATTTTTATGTTAATTAACTCTGAAACAATATATGAATTTCTTTTTGATCAATTGGTTTTATTGGGTTTCGCATTTCAATTTGGGAATCGAATTGCCTGAAAATTGGATTTTTTTTCATTCAGGTCCTTGAAGGCGACAGTGCTGGACTCCAATCTCAACATAGTGGCATCAGAGCTCGTCCATTTCGATTCCGATTTGCCTCATTACAAGACCAAAGATGGAGTTTACAGAGACGCTTCCGTTAATGGCAGAATCGTTTCACCCACTTTGATGTGGGTTGAAGCTCTCGATCTCATGCTTAACAAGCTTTCCAATTCAAATTTGGATCTTGGCAAAATAGCTGCTGTTTCTGGCAGTGGACAGCAACACGGTATAATGCAATACAAAATATTAAGTAATCCAGGTTTTGAGATATTTGTGTCTATTAGGATTATTAAGCTTTGTTATTAGATTTCCAATTTCAATTAATTAGTCTTTCACTCTTGTATAGCTTCTTAACATTGCTATTAATTTTCTAACCTGCGCGAGATTGACATGTAAAACTGTGCGGAACTCTGTGTCATTATCTGTAGGTCTTGGAGTTGACATATGAATTTGTGAACGATTGAAAAGGGTGGTCAAGGGTGATACATAATATTGATCATATATATATATATATATAGATAGATAGGATTGATTATGTTAAGTAGAGTAGATGTTTGACTGAATCATTCTAGATTATTGAAAATTTCCCTTTCTTGATTCTTTTTCTCTCTCTCTCTCTTTTAAACATTCTCTCTTTCTCTATCTAATTATCATTCTTTCTTTGTCATGCCTCAGGTAGTGTCTATTGGAAAAGTGGCAGTTCTTCAATATTATCGTCACTGGATCCCAAGAAGCGTTTGGTCGATCAGCTTGGCGATGCGTTTTCGACGAAGGAATCTCCGATATGGATGGACAGCAGCACCACGGAGCAGTGTAGAGAGATAGAGAAAGCTGTTGGAGGAGCGTTGGAGCTCTCTCAGCTCACGGGATCAAGGGCGCATGAGAGATACACGGGCCCGCAGATTAGGAAGATATTTGAGACACAGCCGGAAGTCTATCACAACACCGAAAGGATCTCCCTCGTGAGCTCTTTCGTGGCATCTCTTCTTATTGGTGCATATGCCTGTATTGATGAAACTGATGCTGCAGGGATGAACTTGATGGATTTAAGGCAAAGGGTTTGGTCTGATAGAGCTTTAGAGGTTTGTTGGATTTTACGAGTATTTGTTCCTCCTTAATAACCATGCACTATTCTTGTTGGGTTTGTTGAATTATTTGTTTAATAAATACCGATTTACATTTCGCACTTTTATTATTTTTCAGTTTTCTATGTATTTTTTTTTTCTTGTTTTGTTTTGTTTTGTTTTGACAATTGCTTTCTCTGTTTATTACAGGCCACGGCACCTGGTCTGGAGCAAAAACTTGGAAAGTTGGCCACTGCCCATGCTGTTGCTGGTTATATTGCTCCTTATTTTGTCGAGAGGTTTCTTTTTTTTTTTTTTTTTGCTTTCTTTTTCTTTTCTTATGTGGAATTTGGAAAATCCATAATTTTCTAGATACTGATTTGTATCCAATTTTTTCGGTAAACAGAAGTCCTTTGGTTGCTTACAATGTCTATGCTTATAAAGCTTCATATGATCAGTTGATTCTGATCAATGTAGGTTAGTTTATAGTTTATACTTTGCAAGGAGCTGTTACTGTACAAGTCAACTATGAATATGCTTAATAGACGTCAAGAACTAGTGTTTAACATGGTTATTCACTTAATTAGCTACCCTGACATCCTCTACTATATGTCTCCTTTTTTGTTTCTTGGCATCTGTTAAATTGTTATACCAGCCTGAATTATGATTATCTGCTTTCAGGTTCTCGTTCAACAAGGATTGCTTGATCATTCAGTGGTCTGGAGACAATCCTAACAGCCTTGCAGGTCCATGATTTTTTTCATCTCATAGCTCAGTCCCCTTGTTTTTTTTTTTCTTCTTGTTTATTGGTTTGTTCTGATTTGTGTTCTTTTGTTTTTTTGGAATTTTCTCACCGTATGGGATGGCATATTTCCATCTGCAGGTTTGACCCTCAATACCCCTGGGGATCTGGCAATCAGTCTTGGCACAAGTGACACAGTAAGTTGAAGAAAGCACTTTTTATGTTCACTTTCTAAGATACGTGAGACTATTGATTGTGTTATCTCGTGGCGCATAGCCCGCTATAAATAGCAAATGTTTTTAGGTCGTAAATGTCAAGTGCTGAAGCTTTGTTTAATACACTGTATCTTACGAGAGTTGTGATTAGAAATCTAAGTGGATGTTTAGTTCATAGATTTAGAATCATGAGTCAGAACCATTCTCGATTTACGTGTATTTTTTGTGAGAGAAAATACTGTAGCGAGCTACAAACCATGACACGAATCCACCAACCAAACGCACGCTAAAAGTTAGTAAAATTTAAGACAGTTACATACTAGTTTTTATGCGGATAGCTGTCTTTTATCTATGAACTTTATCATACTCGTTCTTAGGTCTTTGGAATTACTGACGATCCTCAACCAAGATTGGAAGGACATGTTTTCCCTAATCCTGTTGACACGAAAGGATATATGGTAATGTTGGTCTACAAGAACGGGTCTTTAACTCGTGAAGGTACTACTCTAACACCACTTGACATACATATTCCTGTTTGTTCCAAATGAGCTTTTGTTGTAACTTTCTTTTTTCTGTTTTCTTTTTTGAAAACATTTTGTTGTAACTTTCTGCTGTGACCTCAATCTTAATTTTAGATGTGCGAAACCGCTATGCTGAAAAATCTTGGGATAACTTTAATGCGTTCCTGCAGCAAACACAGCCTCTAAATGGTTTGTAAAATCATCCTTTAAGCTAATTTCTCTGAAACTATTGTTGTAAGTTCTGCACTCCTTAATAGTTGTTAGTTGTCTTTGTAATAGGTGGCAAGATCGGTTTCTACTACAATGAGCATGAAATTCTTCCACCCCTCCCAGGTTCGATTTGATTTGTTTATTCTCTTAGCTCTCTCATTGAATCTCATCATTAAAGTGATTCCATCCAATTATAAATAGCAAAAGAAGATGGCTTAAACTTATGGTTTTCTTTGATCCAATTAACCATTTGGCTGCGAAAGTAGGCTAATATTATGTAAATGATCTAATGGGATAATATGATGAGACAAATGCATGTAATGTCGTTTTTTATTTTAGAACAGTGGATCTGATTTATTTGCAATTGCTTACCTCCTAGTTGGTTTCCATCGTTACGTTTTTGAAAACTTCAATGGCGACACTCTGGAAGGCCTGGCTGAACGTGAAGTAGAGGAATTTGATCCTCCTTCCGAGGTTTGGACTCTTGAATAGCTAGCGGTCACCTGAGCACAGATTTAAGTCCTCAGTGATCTAATCTATGACACGTTCAACTGATTTGCAGGTCAGGGCATTAATTGAAGGTCAGTTCCTGTCAATGCGTGGTCATGCAGAAAGATTTGGAATGCCTTCTCCTCCAAAACGAATAATAGCTACTGGGGGTGCATCAACAAATCAGAGCATCCTCAACTCAATAGCTTCCATTTTCGGCTGTGATGTCTACACGGTTCAAAGACCAGGTTAGAATTGTAGGCCTCAAAAGTGTCATTTCCTGTTTTTCCTGAACAATAGACAAAAAATGTGTACTTTCTATTGCTAACTTCATTGGCAAAGGCATCGGTGAACCTGAATGCCATATGATTAAACTTGAGAATTTAAGCGTCACGTTAACATATGCTTTCTTTTCTGTTTCCTTGATCTTTAATTTTTCACTCTGCTTTATGGGGAAACCTTGGCCTTTTTTATTTTTTTTATTTTTAAATGTTCTTTTGCTCAGTTGCTTATAACTTATGTACTTTATTTATACAGATTCGGCTTCCTTAGGAGCAGCACTAAGAGCTGCTCATGGCTGGCTATGCAGAAATAAAGGTACTTTTGTGCCCATCTCAAGCATGTACAAGGACAAGTTAGAGAAGACATCTCTCAGCTGCAAACTTTCTGCCACTTCCGGAGACAAACAACTGGTTTCCAAGTATGCTTTGTTCATGAAGAAGAGAATCGAAATAGAGAACCGCCTAGTCGAAAGGCTAGGTCGTTGTTAAAATCTAATATGGTTGGGGGCATTCTTTTTTAGCCATCAAAGAATGCATCAATAGATAAAAGCATTTGATTTGAGAAACAAATGACTAAATTGGTGCTGCGATAATTTATTAGCTAAATTAATAAAGGTGAAAGTTTTACGTCCCCGGTTGAGTCTTTTGAAGTTTACATATCCATTGTTCTACAAGATCAATTCATTTCTCGAGTGCCTTAAACCATGTTGATGACCTTGTGTTGTTTCCTACAATTATCTGAATAACTTATCAGGAACCATGTTCCTTACCAAATTTGTGCACTATCAGAACAACAATCTAATACATTATATCAAATCTGAATCGCTGTAAACTTCATCAGAACAATTCTGATATCGGTTTCCTCTTCTTCTTCTCTTTATTTTTATTTTTATTTTTTATTTATTATTTTTTATTATTTTTCTTTTTACTTATAGAACAAATCTGATGCGTTGTATATTCTATACGACACATCTCATACGCATAACAAATAAAAGAAAATGTCTACACGCATTTTTTGTTGTAAAAGTATATTATTTTTACATGAAGAAAGAAAAATTCCTGTAATTCCAATCCTATCAAATGTCATGATGAGTCAGTTTGGTAATGTTGTAAATTTTAAGAGAATTATTGTTAACTGTGCTGAAACGAAAAGCAAGTGTGCCTTGTAGCAGCAAATACCGTACCCGTCACCTCAGCCTCATAGCTGTGAGATCTTGCATGAATATTTAAGGCTGAATTCCTTACGAGGTGCCGAGATATGAATATTTAAGGCTGAAATCTTTTACAAGGTGCCGAGATATAGTGTCAACTCCGATCAGAATGCTCATTTTCTCTCTCTTCTCGCCGGATCCAGCACTAGTTTTAGGATTATTAGTACCATTACTATTTTTTTTAATTTATTATCATACTATTGAATGAATAATGTTATTACTATTATCGCGAACAAGCAGAAAATTATTACTTGATCTTGCATAATGGATTGCTCAAATAAAATACATGAATGATGAGCTTTTTTTTTTTTCTTTTTTATAGTTTTGACTTCACAGTTCACACCTCACTCACTTTAAACTTCTCTCTTGTCTAAGCTTCACTTTTTCTCTATAATTGTTTTTCAACCTTTCGGCAATGCATGTTACGTGGGGTAGTCAAAGTTGTCGTCGATCTTCAACAATGGAGGAAAAATCCAAAAGCAAAAGAAGAAGAGAAACAGAGGGCCTGTTTGTTTCCGGTTTCGTTTTCATTTTTCACAATTTTCGAGAAAAAAAATTGAAAACGCGTTTGGCGTAAAATTTTCTAAAATCAAAACTGAAAACACCCGTTTTCATTTTCTCTTTTTTTTTCATCTGTCTGAAAATGAATTTTTTCATATTTAATATTATTATATATTTAATATATTATTAATATAAATATTATTTCATGTTTTTAAAAATTAAACCACCAAACACAATTTCAGTTTTTTTTTAACTAAAAACAATCTCGGAATAAAACTACCAAACACATTTTCAGAAATAATTCCAAAATGAAAATAAAAACGTTTTCATTTTCATTTTCATACAAAAAACAAAAACGTTTTGGAACCAATTCCAAACGCACCCAGAGAGTTTTGAAAAGACATTTACCATTTGCAGACACGATCCTCACATTTTTCTAGGCACATAAGAAAAAAATGGCCTAAAAAAATAACAAAAAAAAGTAAAACGCTGTCAAAAAGCCTCCGGCCCGCTAAGTGGGGCGCTCAAGAGCAAGCTCAGGGGCCGGGATGGGTCAAAAATTTACATTTTTATTTATGTTTTGGATTCTAAAATTAATATATTACTTTTAGCAATTAATGCAACAAGCGGCACCATTTTTTAATGAATATTCTATTTTTTATGATTTTCATTATTTTCCATCTTTAAAAAATATAATAAAATAAAAACGACGTAAAAAAATAATGAAATTTTGCAGACACTATCCTTATATTTTTCTAGGCACGCCAGAAAAAAATAGCCTCAAGAAATGACAAAAAAAAGTAAAACGCTGTCAAAAAACCCCGGCCCGCGTAGTGGGGCGTCCAGGGGCCGGGATGGGTACAAAATTTACATTTTTATTTTTTTTGCATTCTAAAATTAACATATGATTTTTATGAATTAATGCAACAAGCGGCATCATTGTTTGATGAATATTCTATTTTTATGATTTTCTTTATTTTTTCCCTTTAAAAAATATAATAAAATAAAAATGACCTAAAAAAATAATGAAATTTTGCAGACACGATCCTTACATTCTTTCTAGGCATGTCACAAAAAATTGCCTCAAGAAATGACAAAAAAAAGAGAACGCTATCAGAAAGCCCTCGACCCACGTAGTGGGACGCCCAGGGGCCGGGATGGGTCAAAAATTCACATTTTCATTTATGTTTTGCATTCTAAAATTAATATATGATTTTTAAGAATTAATGCAATGAGCGGCACCATTTTTTTGATGAATATTCTATTTTTTATGATTTTCTTAATTTTTCATTTTTAAAAATATAATAAAATAAAAATGACGTCAAGAAATAATGAAATTTTACAGATATGATCCTTACATTTTTCTAGGCATAGCAGCAAAAAATGATCACAAAAAATGACAAAACAAAGTAAATCGTTGTCAAAAAACCTCCATCCCACATAGTGGGGCGCCTAGGGGACAACTCAAGGGTCGGGATGGGTAAAAAATTTACATATTTATTTATATTTTACATAGTAAAATTAATATATGATTTTTAGGAATTAATGCAATAAGCGGCACCATTTTTTGATGAATATTCTATTTTTTATGATTATCTTTATATATCATCTTTAAAAAATATAATAAAATAAAACAACGTCAAAACATAATGAAATTTTGCAGACACAATCTTTACATTTTTCTAGGATGCCAGAAAAAAATGGCCTAAAAAAATGACAAAAAAAGTAAAACGCTGTCAAAAAGCCCCCGGCCCGTGTAGTGGGGCACCCAAGGGCTAGCTCAGGGGCCGGGATGGGTCAAAAATTTACATTTTTATTTATGTTTTGCATTCTAAAATTAATATATGATTTTTAGGAATTAATGCAACAACCTGCACCATTTTCTGATGAATATTCTATATTTTATGATTTTCTTTATTTTTTTTTGTCTTTAAAAAATATAATAAAATCAAAATGACGTCAAAAAATAATGACATTTTGCAGACACGATTTTTTTCATTTTTCTAGGCATGCCAAACAAATTGCCTTAAGAAATGAAAAAAAAAGTAAAACGCTGTCAAAAAGCCCCCAGCCCGCGTAGTAGGACGCCCAGGGGCAAGCTCAGGGGCCGTGATGGGTCAAAAATTTATATTTTTATATATCTTTTGCATTCTAAAATTAATATATGATTTTTAGGAATTAATGCCACAACTGGCACCATTTTTTGATGAATATTCTATTTTTTATGATTTTCTTTATGTTTCGTCTTTAAAAAATATAATAAAATAAAAACGACGTCAAAAAATTATGAAATTTTACAAACATGATCCTTCCCTTTTTCTAGGCCTGCCAGCAAAAAAAAGGCCTCAAAAAATGACAAAAAAAAAGAAAAACACTGTCAAAAAGCTCCTGGCCCGCGTAGTGGGGCGCCCAGGGGCCAGCTCAAGGGCCGGGATATGTCAAAAATTTACATTTTTATTTATGTTTTGCATTCTAAAATTAATATATGATTTTTAGGAATTAATACAACAAGAGTCACCATTTTTTTATGAATCTTCTATTTTTTATGATTTTCTTTATTTTTCATCTTAAAAAAATATAGTAAAATAAGAAAGACGTCAAAAAATAATGAAATATTGCAGACACGATCCTTCCCTTTTTCTAGGCATGCCAATAAAAAAGGGCCTCAAAAAATGATAAAATAAAGTAAAACGCTGTCAAAAACTCCCCGACCCACGTACTAAGACGCCTCGGGGCCAACTCAGGGCCCGGCGTAGATTAAAAATTTACATATTTATTTATATTTTGCATTCTAAAATTAATATATGATTTTTAGGAATTAATGCAACAAGCGGTACCATTTTTTTATGAATATTCTATTTTTTATGATTTTCTTTATTTTTCATCTTTAAAAAATATAATAAAATAAAAACGACGTCAGAAAATAAAGAACTTTTACAGAAACGGTCCTTACATTTTTTTACGTATGACAGAAAGATATGGCCTTAAAAAATGGCAAAAAAGTAAAACGCTGTCAAGAAGTCCCCGGCGCGTAGTGTGGCGCCCAAGGGCCTGCTCAGGGACTGGGATGGGTCAAAAATTTACATTTTTATTTGTGTTTTGAATTCTAAAATGAATATATGATTTTTAGGAATTAATGCCACAAGCGGCAACATTTTTTTATGAATATTCTATTTTTTTATGATTTTCTTTATTTTTTATCTTTAAAAAATATAATAAAATAAAAGGGACTTCAAAAAATAATGAACTTTTACAGACATGATCCTCCCATTTTTCTAGGCATGCTAGCAAAAAAAGGCCTAAAAATGACAAAAAAACTAAAACGATGTCAAAAATCCCACGGCTCCCGTAGTAGGGCGCCCAGGGGCAAGCTCGGGGGCCGGGATGGGTCAAAAATTTACATTTTTATTTATGTTTTGTACTCTAAAATTAATATATGATTTTAGGCACCATTTTTTTATGAATATTCTATTTTCTATGATTTTCTTCATTTTCATATTCAAAAAATATACTAAAATAAAAACGACATCGAAAAATAATGAAATTTTGTAGACACAATCCTTCTATTTTTCTAGGCATGGCAGCAAAAAGGGCCTTAAAAAATGACCAAAAAAGTAAAATGCTGTCAAAAAGCTCCCGGCCCGTGTAGTGGGCCACCGAGGGGCCAGCTCAGGGGCCGGGATGGGTAAAAAATTTACATTTTTCTTTATGTTTTGCATTCTAAAATTAATATATGATTTTTAGGAAATAATGCAACAAGCGGCACCATGTTTTGATGAATATTCTATTTTTTATGATTTTCTTTATTTTTCATCTTCAAAAAATATACTAAAATAAAAACGAAGTCAAAAAATAATAAAATTTTACAGACACGATCCTTACATTTTTCTAGGCATGCCAGAATATAATGGCCTAGAAA